TAAATAATCATTAGGATCAGCTGAATTATCGGGTTCTAAATTACAATATTTAGTACTACTTGAAGCAAAATGAACAGTGGCTTTGCATACTAGTTGAATTTGTCCTATCTTACCACATCTAAAACATTTAACATTACGAAATGCACATGAATGACGAGAATGAAGTTTTCCACATGATAAACATTGGCCAAACTTGGTCTCACCTTTTTGATTTCCTTTGTAATTCTTTTTTGAGACACCGTTCATATTTACACGAGAATAGGAACCACTGTTAAACGAACACAGTTTTGATTGACCCTGAGATTGTTTTTCATCATGACAGCTAATCAAAGTATTGGAAATCTTCATCGACTGAGTATCAAGTTCATTCAACGCCTCGTAGTTAATGCAACCAGTTCTAACATCTTGAAAGGAACAGTTCGACATTCTTAACAGCTCTCTTTCCAAAATAGGTATGTTAATTCCTGCAATTAATCGGTCTCTCAGCTACACATGAAGTTGATCACCGAAATTACATTTGACAGCTTGTTTCTGCAATTCAAGAATGAATTCCTTAACCTTTTGGTCATTTTGACGAATCATCTTATGAAATTTCGCTCTTTCACGGCATTCAAAACCGGGGCACTTTACATGATTTAATAACAACTCCTTAAGAATTGCATAGGGAAGTGAGATGGGTTTTTCTGGATATGCCAAAGTTTTTAATAAGCTGTACGCTTCTTTTCCGTTGAATGTCAGGAAACGAGCAACAATTTTATCATCTTTGACATCTTTCCTGGTCATACTCCAGATTTCAAAACTTTCCAAATAATCTTCAAAAGCTTCATAAGTAGAATGAATATTTAACTGTTCCATTACAAGCTCCATCGCGACGCCAATATGATAATTAGAAGTATTTGTATTTTAGGATCAAGAACTACGAGATGAGCACAAACGAATGTACTGCATTTAGAATTCGAAATCAAGCATTCAACAACAACCAAGGAGTCACTAGTTCATTCAAACACCACA